ACACTAACCATAATCCTCAGCTATCGTTTGGGACTAAACATCCGCTTTGCTTGACAAACCCCGTGATTAGTCCTCAAGCTCTGTGATTGGATGTTGGAGTGGCAGTGCGCCAAGGTTACGCCAAGCGTCAAACAGCACTTTGAAAGGGAATGAAGCCCATCCACGGCACACTATCCAAAACAGGATACTTTGCAAATATGACAGTAGCCATCGATTATCTTAGGATAAGATAAGATATAATTTATTGATCCCAAATTGGGAAATGTTTTTGTTACTGCAGCATGTAAAACATGCAATTTATTGTTACTTTGTAATTCTACTCCACCACATGCAGTAACAAAAACATTTCCCAATTTGGGATCAATAAATTATATCTTATNAACCTGTACAATTATGTGAAAACATGAATAACACTACACATCTTCAGATGTTATACATACATACGTGTCCTACACTAATAATACAAAGTTGGACCCGTCCCAGTCCAGCTTCGGAAAGTCTCCCGTGGTTTCATTCCATTTCAAAGAGCTGTTTGAAGCTCGGGGTAACCTTGGCGCACTGCCTCTCCAACATCCAATCACAGAGCTTGAGGACTAATCACGGGGTTTGTCAAGCAAAGCGGATGTTGTAGTCCCAAACGATAGCTGAGGATTATGGTTAGTGTAGTGTCTTCGGCCATCCTAAACTCAGAGAAAATATTTGTTTCTCCGAATCGAAGGTTAAAAACACAAAAGCATNATGATGTGAAATATAAACAACCCTTAAAGCAGACTTTAGTTACACCTGAGTAAAATTCAGTGAAGGTGATTGTCAAGTGCCAACAATCAGGAGAGATATTTGATAGTTGGTGCTTGAGAAGACTAAACATTTATCTGCAGATCCCTATAAAGCATATTCATTACTCGTTATTCTCTAATCGTTCATTACAAACTGTATATAATAGCTATTTTGCACATACTTTATCATATACTCAACTACAGTGTAGTTAAGCAATGAATGAAAAACTTGGGTCACAGGTTCCTCAACAGAGCATTACAAGACATCTATCTTAACCTAAAGTATAATTTAATGCTTTAATAAAGGTTCATTAGTTTGTCTGTTTTGCACATCCTCCTATTAATATCTTTGTACATCCGGCACTAAATTGTTTTATTGTAGAGATCATTTACAGTATCTTCTTGATATTTTCTATTCTATATTTCTATCATTGACCTTCTACTTTCCCCCTATTTTGTATGTACTCTTAATATTTAAATGTTTTCATCAAATATAAAACATTCAACAAAACATGCAGCAGACCTTAGGCAAGGCAAGTTTATTTAGTAAAAGAATAGTTTCCGGTCCATTCTGAGGTCCAATCTCTGTAGATAAATAAAGAACTACGGCAGATGTGTAATATGTAATGCAGCCAAACCATTTATTACGATGCATTCATGTGATGACTTTCAAAGAGTAAAGCAAGCACTGCTGAATAAAGTATGATTTTATCTTTTTTACGAAAAGTTTTTTTCATATGGAATACAGTTGGAAGTCAACCAATCACAGAGCTTGAGGACTAATCACAGGTTTGTCGAGCAAAGCTGACTGGCATCGTCCCAAATGACAGCTGAGGATTATGGGTAGTGTAGTGTCTTCGGCAATCCTAAACTCCGAATGTTTTTCCGAATCGAAGGGGAAAAACACAAAAGCATTATTCACAATGCTCGGTGAAACCGAACCAACCAGCGAGTGTGTAAATATTGTGTCTTAATGGGGCACCTCGGCTCTGATTAAACAGACATCGTGTAGTGGTTGGGGTTAGGGTAACCCCTTGCTGGAGGCAGTGTATGCGTTTGTTTGAAGCTTTCAAAATCCACACTTCTCAAGACCTCAACTTCAGAGTTGGCAGGTGTGGACGGACACATTCCTTTCAACTACCCTTTTGTGAGCTCTGTAATGTGATTTATGAGCCTTAAACTTTTAAGGCAATCGAGGTGATTGTCCCATAAAACACTCAAACATGGGTAAATGGTAAGAAAAAGCCATCGTCAGTGTTTAGGGTCCCATTCAACAGCAAGCAGGCTTTGGGTATGGTACGTTTGAGGTGGCAGGTCGGTGGGCTGAGCAGAGACCAGGCGGCCTGGAGGGAGAGAAAGAAGTTAAACCTTTGATGGCTTTGAACTTAGAGTTAGTCTGAGAGAACTGTTTGTTTGGCTCTCTTCTGACACTACGCTGTTTAGGGTTCATGAGACCATGATTATCGTGAAATGACTGTTGTGTTGGTGGATCAGTGGAAAAATGGTTCCGTTTTTCAGTCTGTTTGTCTGTGTCTCCACATGCCTGTGTGTGTTCCCAGATGTCTTGTCAACTGTTCTCTGTATCTGTTTGTATTGCATAACTTGTGTGCAGACCTTTTTCTTCCTATGTATTTGTTTAGCCTGACTGATTGTCATTGTGTTCTGCATTGTATAACAGTAAAATAATTGTTTGTTTATATGCAACACATTGCAATGTTGGTTTAAAGCTGTGTGCTGCACTGTGTAACACATGTCCATAGCTGATTTACATGAGTAGACAGATGAAATGATGTCCTTAATCTAAGGAATTGAGCATAAATGATTTTTATTACCAAGCTGAGAATAATTGTTGTTTGTAAATACTGCATAACAGGTAGCTGCATGTCTGTCTCCCTGTCTATATGTATGTATTTATAGCTATGTATCTCAGTGAAGTGTTTACAGTCCATACACACATAGCCTCACTGCAGTATGGGAAACAAACTCAGAGCAGTAGAAATGAGCTTTGAATGTCATCGTTTTTGAAAGAATAGATTCATGTTTGACTCTTTGAAGGGGTGTTTAAGATGTATGCATAATCATCAGCATCAGCATCATCACTGCAAAGACCAAAGCCTCCACTGATTCTGTCTGTGTTTATATACTCATATACGTAATATCTGCCAATAGGTCACTATTAGAGTTTACTTATTTGATTGATTTCTACAGTCTGTTCCCTCCCCACAGGTCGGTGCTGGAGCCCCTGGCCCAGTGGGACAGTCCCATGCAGGTGAAGTTATCCTGCTGGAAGTCGGGTCTTAACACTCTGCTGGTAGAGCTATTGCCCTGGGCCCTGCTGGCCAACCACTCCAAATGGGACCTGTGGCTGTTTGAGGGAGAGACAATCGTCCTGCAGATACCAGCCGGAAAGATCATTGTGCCCCCCAACTTTAAGGTATTGTGCCTATTACAGAACATGTATCCTGCTCGAAAAATCATCTAAATTATTATTATACATTCCCAATAATGGTGTTATCAGCGCTTTTCCTTACACTTCCCTCACCAGATAAATGCTTATGTCTTCTAAACTGTATGCCTTCAGTTGTTACCAAGCATTCAAGCCGTTAAACTGAAAAATCATGTAATAATGAAGACATCAGGGTTACTTTCTCAGACTAAATCACCCTCCACCGACACAGACAGTCGACTGGACTTGCATTTATCTAGCACAAATCAAACCTTCTGACACCGGTACCCAAGGTGTGAACATTCATACAATGATGGCAGAGGCTCATCAGAAACAGAAGACTGTTTCCTGAGCTGAGGAGTTAGTAAACTGAACATCACATGTTCTTAATGTTCTTACTGTGCACCACTTACATCTTTATATAATACTTTCATACTATTTGCTATGCTACGTGAAACAAGCCATATTGCATGAATGTTTCCAATCAGGTCAGAATTTAAGTGTTGGAAAAATACTGCTAAGTAAAGCAAATTCTGACTGTATTCTTTCCAAATGTTCTATGCAGTGATCTTCCTATTGCTCTGATAGGTATAGATAGATACTGTATTTATTTTTGCCTTTAGGCAAGACAACCTTTATTATGAAACCTGCTCTGTACTCATCTGGACTAATAAAACTGTTCTCAAAGCGGCAATACAACAATATTCCCTGCATGTCTTTATCTACAGCCAAGCTCTGTCACTCTTTACTGTAGAAATGTCTTCTCTCTGGCTTCTGACATCAGAAGAAGAGGTCTGCAGATGTTTTTCCCACTGTGGAACATAAAACACATACACAGATTTTTCAACTAACAAAGCGCTCAGCAGCAAGGCAGCGTATCAAAGAGCAATTGCTGATGCTCAAAAATGTGTAAAAGCTTTTGTCATAGGAACAAATAAAACATTACTTCAACCTGCTCCTGCTGTTTATCATAGCAGGAGCAGTGAAAAGTAGTTTTGGTGTCCGCTGAGAAGGTTGCTGTTTGATGGGCATGTTTGATGAGGCTGATAGCTGCAGAGCCAGATAAACAGCAATCAGCACTCATCAGCCAACATCAGTAATGGAAGTAATATACTCCTCAATCGAGGACTTTTTGTAAAGTTATGCAGGAAGCATGAAAACATGGACACAAACTTGAGTTGTTGGTTTTGAAGCCACAGTTGATACAATCAGAGACAGTCCATTTCATTATCAATTACAGACCATTTTAATATTCAAATAAAAAAATGGCAGTGTTTGACCTTTCTCTTTCCTTCTGATTCCTTATCTGATTTCCTTTCTCCCCCCTTTCTTGCCCTCTTGTCCCCCTCCACCCAGGAAGCCTTCCAGATTGGTATCTACTGGGCCCATACTAACACTGTCCACAAGTCCACAGCTCTCAAACTGGTACATGACCTGACTTCTCCTCGGTGGAAGGAGGGATCAGGCTCAGAGGTGGTCACTCTGGATGAGGAGGGGTATGTAGAGGCTGACATCACCCTGGGAGCCTTCCCTGGCAGACAGAAGGTGAGGAAACAAAGCGTTTATAAGTTACAGTGATCAATGCGCATGATGACATTTCATTTTGGAAAGTCATTGAATTATACATTATCGGAATACATCCCCCTCAAAGTTATCATTGTATATTAGAGTTACTCAACCCGTGTGACCTTAAATTCTTGAAGAAAACTCTCAAGGCTTAAGTTTGCCTTTACTGTGAACGAATAATAAGTAAAAGGGTGCTGCGTTTATCAACAGGAAAGTTACTCTATGTTCACATTTCAACTCCTGCAGTATAATTATAATCCAAGTCTCCCAACACATGCATTTTAATGAAACCTTACTTTTGAACACAATTACATGAAAGAGTAGAGCGTCTGCATAAACATGAAAATGTGTATGAGGAAGTGTTTTAAATCAGAACATTTTTTGTGAAAAATATTTTTCGTTCCGAGTCATGAGAGAAAAAGGTTTTCCTGCATTGATTGACAGGGTGAGTCATTTATATGCAAATGTTCATTTTGTGGGTACAAATTTCCTTTAAGAGTTATCGTGAGCACAGGGAAAATGTTCTGTAGTGCAATGCACTATAAAAAAGTATTTGAATGATTGTTCTACTTTATAACTGGCGACTTGGTGTCTGTTGTCTCCTCTGCAGCTGTGTCAGTTTTGTGTGTCGTCTGTGGTGAGGCATGGTATTCAGATTCTACAGTTAGAAGACAGAACCATCCTGGTCAACAACACTCCTCACACCATTCAGTACAGGCCTCTGCTGACGGACCATGCCCTGGGAACTGACGGCCAGGTAATGTGCATTAACAAACTGTGTCCTTTTACTTTACACTGAATAAGGGTTTCTCTGAATCACAATTTTCAAACTACCACCACACAAAGGAAGTCTTTCACTTTATGAAATATTGTCAGTCATTTAATCTCTGGGTACTTTTTTGTTCACTATGAAATGCACCAGTAGTATGTGCAATACCCATTCTGGTTGAAATGTATATTATGTTAAATGTATCAGTTACATTGTAAAACAAAAATAAAATCAACCACCACTCCGTAGAAACACTGCTGTAAGGTTTTGTCGACTTTTTGGCCTGTGCCTGCTGATCAATCAATCAATCAATCAATCAATGTTTATTTATATAGCCCAATATCACAAATGTTACATTTGTCTCAGTGGACTTCACAGTTTGTACAGAATATCAGTATGACAATACGACACCCTCTGTCCTTAGACCCTCACATCGTACAAGGAAAAACTTCCAGAGAAAACCCACAGTTTAAAGGGAAAAATGGGAGAAACCTCAGGGAGAGCAACAGAGGAGGGATCCCTCTCCCAGGACGGACAGACGTGCAATAGATGCCGTGTGTAAATTGAAAAGATAATAAATGTATTATCTTTTCAATTTACACACGGCATCTATTGCACGTCTGTCCGTCCTGGGAGAGGGATCCCTCCTCTGTTGCTCTCCCTGAGGTTTCTCCCATTTTTNTTTTCACCACGAAAAACACGTAAGTTCGAGCGCCGAGACAACACACGCAGCCTTTAGCGCGTTAAGTCACACACAGCTCTCTTCCCCTCTCTCTACTGGCTGGACGCCACGTCGTCGTCCCCCTGGGCACAAAAATCGTAGACGACATCGATCGACGTGATTGCCGTAATGCCTCGACAAACAAGGTGTTGTCTCGACTCTCCTCTCGAGAGGAGAGTCCTGGACTCTCCGAGTCCACTCGATTTCCTGAGAGACTCGACAAATCTATAAATTGAAATCAGATTCAATAGAGTCACCGCAGAGTTTAGTTGCCAAACCAGTTTTTAATAAGTTTCTAATAAAGGCGCCGTGTGGAGTAGCATACTAGTTAAATCATATTTTTTCTTATTCTCTTATTTCCGTTTTTGTCAATACTTTACTGCATATACCGGTCATTTTGTCTTCTCATGTCAAGCTTTCCCCTCCACTAAACATTGTTATAGGTACTTTCTTTTTCTTGTACGCACGACATGTCAACAACAAAGTAGACCCGGGTGCCACGCGAGAGCGCGCGGCTCTACAAGGTATCTAGGCAGAATTACAACGAGAGTTTCACGTGGTCTAACTACAAAATTGAAAGTTATAAATTTTTTTAGAAGCGCCCCCTACGTAGGGGGCCCTGGGGGGGATCTCTTCCACTCCAGCAAGGGTGAGCATTTTTTATCGTGAAAGGGGGACGGATATTACGCACTCGACTAATAGCTCGGAAGTAACATAGTCAGCGCCCAAATGACACACAAACGCACACCCCTCAAAAAAAGCCACGCACGGAGATATCACGGGCATGTATCACAAGTGACCTTCGAGTCCGTGGGAGGTAGTGGGGGTGAGTTTTATGGAAGGGCGCGTGAGACCATGTATGGGACAATGTGAGGTGTACATTTCATGCGAACACACAAAGGGCTCCCATATATCTCTTTAATGTTTGTCACGAGAACTGGTCTTGTGGTCAGAAGGTAGTAAAGCTCTTGTTCTGGGGAACTCTCTGATTGGTCTGGTGTCTTGCCTCTGTTGCATTCACTGAACACGGGAAATTACAGTCCTGCCGTCCTTTCTAGTGTCTTGATGAGGTTCACGTAAAGCACGGTTAATGTATTATATTATTGAGGTAGAATTGTCCGGGGCTACAGAAAAAACATTCGGGGCAGGCCAAAATATTAAACAATGTGGAATTTATTGGCTACATATTACACAGATTATGCACAGCGGGAGCAGCAATAACCGTCAAATAATAATTCAGATAGGGGAGCTCCGCACCCCCTGCCTGCCGCTAGGGGGTGCTGCAGCGCCCTCAGCACCCCCCTTCCCGCGCCCATACACTGTCATGCCTTTCTTTTGTGATGGGAGCTAATATGTAGATTTAAGTCATAATTAGAACTATGGGGTCATGATGCACTTATAAATGAGAATAAAACAAAAAAAATAGTTTCACAGATTTTTATAAATAACCTTAAATATATGATCCTGGCAAACCCTTATCCACCTGTTCTTAAATCATAAACACAGTAAAGAATCCAATAGCCCAGACTTTAAAAAAATAGAACATCAGAATAATTGTTCCTCTCTTTCCCGAGGGCTTCTGCAGCTCCGTTTACTGTGACACAGAAACAAAGACAGATCATGCCCTCACCTCCTCTGCATTGCACCTGTCCCCTGCCAGCCTCATCCTCAGCTGCAGGAAGCAGGAGCGCTTGAACTCCTCCAGGGCTTCAGGAGACTCAGTGGGGTTGGCCTCGCTGCTCCAGGGACCCCCCCCAGGCTCAGCACCGTTTCTCTGATCCTGGCACAGCAGCACAGGGAAGTGGAAACTGGCTCTGTTATACAGCTGGTTGTCTATCTGCAGGTTGGAGCAATATACCTCGACCAGCGAGATGTGTGCTGATCCCAGGTCAGAGGCTCCCTGCTCCTGGGGCAGGGAAGTGGGGGCTGGAGCCAGGCTGAGGAACAGCTTGGTCAACGTGAGTCTGAGCAGCTCCACAGATCCAGATGGATTGGTGATGTCATCACTTAACACCACACTGGCTTCACTGAGGAGCACTCTGCAGGACGCTTTACGTGAGCTGAAACAAGTCATTCATGTCAAATGAATACATTTACACATGCTGGCCATTGATGCATGTTTAGCAATGATTTAGACAGTCATATGTTTAATTATACTTTATTACTGTCCAAGAAAGACAACATCTCCATCCATGACATCATTCAAGTCCTAAGTAGGTGCTTTATTATTTAGAGACCAAACTTATTCATCTTGTTCTGACGATGTTTAATGAGTTTCAAACCACCACAACCAAGAACATTGTCTGACATAGTTTGTTTACATTTACCTAATGTGTGATTATATTAATTCCCTGTTTTGCCAAAAGAAAAAGTTGCTATGTGTTGATGTAATGGAATAAAGCTGTGCTAATTTCACTCATGACAACCATGAAGTTGTATTGCCCTCCTGTGGTGCAAATGATGCCTGTTTCTTCATGTTTTCAGTCTAGAAACAAATGTTGCATGCAAACATGGCTGTTAACAATAATCATGAAGCAGTTTGACGTAAACAACAATAAAGGCACACAGGAAGATAGCTTGAAGTTAGGTAGAACGACATGCATGAATAGTTTCTCATGGTTAAAATTGTAGGCTGCATACAACAACAAGAATAAAAGCACTGCTGGAGCACACAAACCTGCTGTGCTGGTGGATCACAGCGTCCAGGCCGCCCTCTGGTGCCAGACACAGAACCAGAGTGCCTTTCTCATACAGCACGTCAATGTAGAGACAGCCGAAGCCTGGCAGGAACACCACCTGTGCAACACCACAGGTCTGCAGTCAGATAGATCAATATGCCTATCATTGATATCCTCTATTGATGGACTATTGCTAATTTTTACTCTGTTCAATCTCGAAGGAAACTTTACCCTTTCACAGATTCATGGCTGAGTGTTCTTGATATGTGTTTCAGAGCATACATGTGGCTGAGTTTAACCTCCACCACTGCAAGTTCACAGTGAGAAAAGGAAGCAGATCCCTGCTAAACTTGGCTGAGCAGTCATAACAAGTCCGACCTTTGACCCCTTCCCCCTCCCTCAGAGGTCAGACTGAGACCTCACAGTAACAAGAGATACACAGCCTTCACCTCAACCCCAGCCTGCAGCTTGCTAGACACAACACGTAACATTACACACACTTCTCCTTTCTATCTGACTAACCCCACACAGGGACTGAACCAATATGTGCGGGCTGTTTACCACACCACAGTGGACACACACACTTCATCAGACACAAATCTGTGTGATCAAGCTTAATACATTTCAATAAAAAATGAATCTACATCAGTAGTGAATAATAATTTAAATGATCATAATAGGAGTGAGTTTCAGGATCCTAAATTGCAGTTTTAACCAGTAGAGTGGCCATACTTGTACTCCCAGTGGACTTTTTTGATTTTGATTAGATTTGAAGTTTTAAGGGAAGCTGGATCATTTGGATTTGACAGATTGCTAATCTTTTTGAAAAGATTGTCCACAGTAGAGGTAATCATTTTAATCGTGTACTATCTATATGGAATGGTCGCAACACTACTTATGCCAATCAGTCTGTGCAGAATCCAGCAAGTATCCTGAACACCGGAGAAGCCACTGATGAGGCTGTCACCTCGCTAATCCCAAATCCTGTTTTCCATAGTACAGGCTACAGCTCCACCTATCAGTGAGAGCTGTGACAACAAGTTATTTAATGTACATCAGTAGTAAATAAGAGTTTACATTTTCACGATAGGAGTTATTGAAACAAATATTTGTGTTTAAACAAGTGTGACGATAATTTTTAGTAATGTATTTTTAGTGTTGAGGTATGACATACCCTTACATACGAGACAAAATCCTGTATAATTGTACGTCTCACCCAAGCCTTTACCTGAGTCCCGGGACAGTTGATGTCTATGGGGTCAGTCCAGTCAGTGGAGCTGTGGTCTGATGTGGTTTTTAGCAGCAGTGTGGGCAGCATCTCTTTCTGTCTGCACTCAGGGAAACTGGAGAAATGGTGGTAGAGCTCATGGTGCAGGGAGCAGTTAGCAGGCAGAGGACGGCAGTACACCTCAGTCCTTGCAGTTTCTATTTGAAAACAAGAAGAACCGGTACAAAAAATGGTAGTAAAATGGTACACACGAGATGAGAGTAGAATTGTGTCCCTTCCTACCTTTGACTGTTTCCTTCAGCATGAGTGGGATAGGACACTTGTTGTGGATCACCATCCGTGGACAGGGGTCCTCATTCAGGATGATGTATGTCACCCCAAGGTGTTCTTGATATGTCAGTACTATGCTTCTGCAAAAAATGAATAAAAACAAGCCCATGAATAAAATGTCCACGGACAGCTCCTATCCCAGCCCCTTTCACCACCCACCAACATGTTACATGTCACATCCCTGCTATGTCCATTTGCAAATCTCTGAGGTGCATCCATGGGCAGACCCCGAACTGAGGCCAGATGCTGACACACTTTGGCTTCACGATATACATTTACACACATTAAATAAGAGCTAATTTGGCCTCTCGGACCAGAACATAAGTGTGAAGGCAAATATGATATGCTCATTGGCCTTTGTATTGTGTGTAAAATTGTTTCTGACTTGGACTTAAATCATAACAAATGGCCACAAGAAATGGGGGCAAACAGAAAGTAGGTGAGACCAAGACAAGAAAGACATGATATATGATAATGTTGAGGTTTTTTTCATTCTGCTTCATCTGAAGAATTTAACGAGCTGTGACCAGCTGTGCCTCCCGGCTGTGCCAGCCCGATTCAGTGCCCTGCTCTAAATGGAGCAGCCAGCATAGAACGTACGCTCTGATTAACCCACCTACTGCTCAGGCCCCCCACAGACTCTGCTTCCCCAGGAACAGACACACTCAGCCTGGGGAAGTCTGATCGGATCGGAGCGGGCAGGCTCCATCCTGCTGATCCAACTCCACCATCAGGCTTGGGAAGTAGGCGGAGAAGCATGTATCTCAGCGGCAGAGGGAACTCCAGCGCTTCCTGGACGCTGGTCTGCAGGAGGTCCCAGCACAGCACAGAGCAGGGTCTGGAAAGCTCTTCAGAGGGGGCCAGGCTGAACTGGGCAGTCTCTGGGATCTCACAGGCCTGGGGACAGGACATGATGACAATTATGAAAAGGAAAGAAGAGGGGAGAGGAGATAAAGGGAAGGAAAGGTTGAACAAATAGTTGTAGAGGGGTGAGGATTTTAGGAGAGGAGAAGAGTGAAATGAAAAATAAGTTGAAAGGACCGAAGTGGAGTGGAGAGAAAAGAAAAGGGAGAGGTAAAATAAGCATATGATGAAGGAAAATCATAAAAGCAAAACATTTGGATGTGAAGAGACGAATAAAGAATGGTAGTAAGGAAAGCAACAGAGAATAAAGCCACTGGACAAAAGTTTCAACAGAAGAGAAGAAAAAGTGATTACTCCAAAGATACATGGTAAAACCACATTGTTATTGTACCCTCCTCTCTCCCATTGAGATCACTGCTAAATTGATAGCAGAGAAGCCCCGCTGTGCTGCAGAGTCCAGGACTGCAGGATTAGGCTCTAAGCATTATGAATAGAGCAACTAGAAAGGCATTCCTTGCCTTGTTTGTGGTCTGTGTTATTGTTAAGCCCACCGCTCCCTATTTAGTTTTTTAAAGCTCTTTTTCTAAAAAAGTTTTTTCAGTCAATTAGTGGCAACTGGCAAGCTCTGCCATCCTCCTTTAAGAGCATCTGAAGGCTCGTTAAATGACATCACTACATTGTTGCTCTCTTTGGGGACAAGCAGCATGAAAGCGAGAGGGGAAACCTGCATCCAATTCTGGGTGTTTGTCTAATGTCCCAATGAGTGAAAAATGGTGGAGGCGGGAGAGGGGGAGCAGCATGATCTGATGGAAAACGGCTTGCTTACTTCTGAGCAATGAGTACGTGTGGTAGTGCAGGGTGGATGTGTGTGAGTAATGTGCATTGGGAATATACCGTATGTGTGAAGCTTGAGGAAGTTGAGGAGAACAGGACAGACATGATGCAGGGCCAACACACACATGCACATGAAGACACACACCGAGGCCGTATGGTTATGAGGAAGCAGTGAGGAATGAATGCTTTGGGCCCAGAATTGACACTTTTTCACTGTGTTGTAAAGAGATGGAGCAAAGACTAAGCTGGTTGGGAATTTGAGACTGGGTAGATGTTGTGATGTATGAAATATTTAGCCTTGTTTAACCGGAAAATGTTCTTATACTTTATGCCAGCACAAGCAGTTGTTTTAACTTTTATAACGTATAGTGTGCAAAAACTCATATAAGAATAGTCCCTCTCAATCATGACTACTGACCCATGCATTAAAGATTTGTTGGGATAGATTTCCCCCTCCTATTTAATGAATTCAGGACAATTCTGGGGCTCAACAAAGCAGGGGGGGGGGGGCAGCATAAAAGCAGGGGGTTCAGCCCGTTCTCATCCCCGCCCCTTGGTGTCTCTCTTCCCATGCAGGGTTCCCACGCTTGCCTTGACATTTTTTTCCATGCTACCTCCTAATTTTCCAGGTACCATATTAAGTGATGATCTATAGGCCCCTGAAGCTTTCCGCCCCCATCCGCGCCCCCTCCCCCTCACACACACAACCCCCTAGGACACCTGACTACTTGATTTAAAAGATGTGCCAGTCAAGTCTACATTGTAAATGCTTAGATATTATGTCTATTGATAATATCAATGCATGAAATAATGCAAAAAGCTGTAGATGAACAACAATTTATTAAACGGGAACTTTGAAACACATGAGCACTGGGATTTATATATGTTCTCTCTTCCACTCCTCTCCTATCTCATCCTGTCCTCTTCTCTCCACACCTCCCCTCTTGTGTCCGCTCCTGTCTTCTCTTCCTACTCTTCTCCTCTCCACTCTTCTCCCTTTTCCTCTTTCATCTTCTACTCTCTTATCCTCCTCTTCTTCTCCTCTTTCATCTTCGCCCCTCTTCTCTTCCTCCTCCCTCTTTCCTTCTGTGCCCTCCTGGCTCCTCCCCCTCTCCACTCCTCTTCCTCCTCCTCTCTACAGTCTGAAGATCTGAAACAGATATGTATTTTGAGTTAAAAAATAGTCATCATCATCCATAAGCATAATTGTGTTATATTTGTCTTTTAGGAGGGTGGCCATAAAATATTTACAATCTTTTCATACATCCATAAAGGCTATTTGCGCATACCTTCATTGCTTATTAACTTATTGACAGACTCTTGCAGCTCTTTTCAGGGCTTTAGTCTAGAGCTGCCACCTCTTCCTTTTTATCAATAACCCCTTTCCGAATAGGCATTTGATTTTTTGACAGCAAGTGTAAAATTCACGTGCTTCTTCTCTGCCATGACTGTGCCATTTCATGTGGCATTTCTTTCTCCATTGTTTCAGCGCTAGTCATTAACTTTTTGCGCTTTGTTTTCAACTTTCTGGATTTCCTGGGAGAGTCTCCTTCTTTTTCTTCTCTTTAGTGGTTTGCTCTCTCAACTTCTTCTGGTCTTCCAGATACATCTCATATCTTGTCCTGTGCTCCTCTGCAGTGTTGCTTGATGGTTCTTTTGGAAGAGATCCATCTGTGTGCCCAGCCATTGCAGTTCGTGGACGCCAAGCGCATTGCTATTAGCGTCTTCTCCTGTAGGTTTTCAACAAGCATTTCCTTGTTAACAGAGTACCCCCTTTCTTTCTTACTGCAGCTTGTCCATGAGACAGCGTGGAAGAGACATGCATGGATGGTTCCACAGTTCTGCATACTCTTCTTTGCCACTGAGATTATCTTCCGAAAGAATTTCATCAAGGTCTGCAGCTGTAAACAAATTCTTCGGAACTCTGCTTTGTGGTTTGTGTGTGACATTGAGTGAGAATGCTTTATTACTGAGAGAAAGGAACTTTGTCACACTCTGTGGCAGGGCACGCATCCAGCATTGAGAGAACCTGAGGGTTTCTCAAACATTGCGTTTGTTACTTTCGGTTTGCCGTCACAATCATCACAGGGTCAAGGGACCTCATTATGCCGCACAGCTGGGATACATGAGAGGACTTCTGCCCCATAATTTTCTTGCAGGGTCATGCGATAAGGAGACCATTCTTTTTTGACTCCACAAATTTTCAATGGATTTTCCTGGAGCTTCATAGGATGACCTGTCTGCAAAGCCTGCTTGGTTGAAAATCCTGATGTCCAGGTGTTTGAGTGGGACATGGATTTGCTTCTCTTGGGGGGTTCCAGTTTGTTGAGCTGGAGAGTGTCTTGATCTTTGCCAAGCCTCTTCTCTCTTAATAAAGCATTGACAGCAGGCCTGTCAAGGTGCTTTTGGAGCTCCTTTGCCACAGTAATGGCACCATTGGGGCATCTGTCTGATAAATACCTTTTCAAAAAGAGGCTTCAGCTGTCTTGCCAACAAAAGCGAAAAACTCAAGTTTAGCCAGGAAAAAGAGGCTCTTCGGTTGCCTCTTGACTGTCAAGTAGGACGCGGATGTTGGCACTTTACTCTTCGGAGTTTCTTTTGTGGCTGTGGAGTACGCTTATTCACAAGCTGGCCACACTTCGATTGCCCGCTGCAGCACTTTGCAGTCTTCAACCCAATCAAGTGGCACAGAAGAACTTCAGAAGGAATTCTTGCCCGTTTTAGTCAGCTCACTGAAATCCTCTTGCCTTTGCTGGCGAGTCATGGAAACACCTGCCAAAGCTCCCCCCCCCTCTCAGCGCGTCCCCGATTTTCCAAACCTGGTTTCCGCTCTCTCGGGTCGTGGAAACTTCCATGCCAAAACATGCCAGACCACAACTTCCCAGGTTGTGAGCTTTTGGTGCCATCTGGGTCCTCTTTTGCCTCTTGGCTCGTCTTGGAATATTCTTAAGAAACTTTCCAATTCTACGTAGGCCGTCCATCGATATTTGCCAGCGGAGCTTGTTGGGGTCCAAGAGGCTGACAGGGATCTGTTGTACTCTCCAAGAGCTTCTCTGCTGAGTGTGTTCTAGGAACTCTGAAGTGAAGTAATGCGACAGGCTTACTTTCCGTGCTGTCGTCGTCTCCTCCAGTTAGCCGCGAATGAATATCACATGCTGTGTCTTGTTTGGCTGTTCACTTTGTTTAAGGCATTCGTCAAAAGACACTACATGACGACTTTGCCGTTTTCTTACGTCTTCAAGTCAGTCCTGCTCGTTTAAAATGAGGATAGCAAGCCAAAACGTATTAAGGTTAAGTCCAATTTTGTTCCCCGGGCCACATGCTATAGTTGTTTGGGCCAATCGGACTCTGCTCTGCTGGAACATCGAGCAAAAGTGTTTGAAATGTCAGAGTTTGGATTTGAACGAGAAGCTGTGATTTCCTGACCATCTCATGATCCCATGGAAATCTCTGCTTCAATTACAGCTTTGGCCTTGAAAAAAGTTTCCCTGAGGCTCCAGCAGCTTTTTTCCGGTAGGTACTGCGCACCTGACTGTGCGAGCTTTCGATATCCTGGCTTGGTTTGGGCCGCTTTTCCCTCGTTCTCTGGTTTTTTAGTCAAGAATCTGGTCATTCTTCTTTCATGTATTTAGTGTCCGAGCTTAATTGGTGTGGTTTGTCCTTTTGAATGGCTCTTGAGGGAAGTGACCCCATATTGCTGATGTCATAATACTTGCGGCAAAACTTGGGCAATAAAGGCCTTTGTGGACATCTCCTGGTACTCTCCAATCCAGTCCTTGTATTGAGAGTCATCTGTTCGCAATTGTGACTTGAATCCTGCCGCGTGTCATTGTCACTCACTCCTGTAATGTCATCAACTACATTGAGATTGTATGAGTCTCGTAGAAGGTAGTATGGCCTACTCTCACTCTGGTAAAAGCTTTGTGAAGATCAACAACTAGATGAAGGCCTAAAAGGGGAAAAATAAGGCTGGTTTCCTGTGGTTCCTCAGTACAGCCAACCTCCACTAGTAAGCTAGTAACAGTAGAATAGATTCCCAGCAGCATATCCAATGTATTTTTCAAAAATGTTTCATCTCATAATGTTCTCTTTTATGATACATTTTTAAAGATAAAAAATGAAAATCACAAAATAGCTAAAAGTTAGATATAAGAATGAATTACATAATGATCAAAACTAGACTATTTTCATGTCAACTATGATAGATGAATTGGTCACAGCCGTGAATGTGGAAAAGTATTGGTAGTTAGCTAGCAATGCAACAGCCAACATACAGTTAGTTACACTGAAGTTGGCTGTAGCAAGATGTCAGGCCGATCTCTAAACCATCATTAACAAATTCAAATTCTAGCTAGTAGCAAGATTGCACTGCTACGTAACTAACTTGATAAAACCCAAGTTTACGCACAGTTAAAACACAGCTACTTACATTTGAGAATAAACTTGCATAAGAAGTTTCACTGTATGATGTCAAGGCTCCCGTGGTTGCGTGGGAAAGCATTGTATTTGACCCTTCTCTTGAGATCGCGGGTAACGTTATTTATTCATGAAAGTCCACCAATCCCGAAAAACTATACTTTTAAAGTCCAATCACCATAGTTTGCCTGCCATCAAAATTCCAACATTCCAAATGATACCATATAGGACGCCAAGAGCGATGCTCTACGAACAGGCCTATTCAACTGGCAGCCGCGGGGCCAGATGCGGCCCAAGAACCAACTCACCGAGTGGCCCAGCCT